CTCTTGTAGGAAACTCTTGTGGGACACTCTTGTGGGACACTCTTGTGCGACACTCTCGTGGGACACTCTTATAGGACACTCTTGTAGGACACTCTTGTGGGACACTCTTGTAGGACACTCTTGTGGGACACTCTTGTGAGACACTCTTGTAGAACACTCTTGTGGGACACTCTTACACGAGGACACTCTTACACGACACTCTTGTAGGACACTCTTGTGGGACACTCTTGTAGGACACTCTTGTAGGAAACTCTTGTGGGACACTCTTGTGGGACACTCTTGTGAGACACTCTTATAGGACACTCTTGTGGGACACTACTGTGGGACACTCTTGTAGGACACTCCTGTGGGTCACTCTTGTAGGAAACTCTTGTGGGACACTCTTGTAGGACACTCTTGTGGGACACTCTGTGGGACACTCTGTGGGACACTCTTGTAGGACACTCTTGTGGGTCACTCTTGTGGGACACTCTTGTGGGTCACTCTTGTAGGAAACTCTTGTGGGGCACTCTTGTAGGACACTCTTGTGGGACACTCTGTGGGACACTCTTGTAGGACTTGTAGGACACTCTTGTGGGACACTCTAGTGGGACACTGTTGTGGGACAGTCTTGTAGGACACTCTTGTGGGACACTCTTGTAGGACACTCTTGTGGGTCACTTGCAGGACACTCTTGTGGGACACTCTTACACGACACTCTTGTAGGACACTCTTGTGGGACACTCTTGTGGGTCGTGGGACACTCTTGTGGGACACTCTTGTAGGATACTCTTGTGGGACAGTCTTGTGGGACACTCTTGTGGGACACTCTTGTGGGACACTCTACTACAAAGTCGCCAGTTCTCAGCTTCCAGCTCCACAGATTGCTCCGCGTACGAAAGTTGTACTACAAAGTCGCCAGTTCTCAGCTTCCAGCTCCACAGATTGCTCCGCGTACTAAAGTTGTACTACCAAGTCACCAGTTCTCATCTTCCAGCTCGCCAGATACCCCGCGTACTAAAGTCGTACTACAAAGTCGCCAGTGCTCGCCTGCACTTCGCGCGCTCGACGCGCAGGATCTCCGCAGAGGGTTGCGCGGGCACCGGACAAATCGCACTCTCGCCTGCATTTCGCGCACTCGACACGCACGATCTCCGCAGAGGGTTGCGCGCGTGGGACAAATCGCACTCTCGCCTGCATTTCGCGCACTCGACGTGCACGATCTCCGCAGAGGGTTGCCCGCGCATGGGACAAATCGCGCTCTCGCCTGCATTTCGCACACTCGACACGCGTGATCTCCGCAGAGGGTTGCGCGTCAAGTCTCCAAAGCGAGCGTTTCGTACGAGACTTCCTCAAAAACTCACGTCAAAGTCTGCAAAACGAGCGTTTCGTACGAGACTTCCTCCAAAAGTCAAGCGGAAACACCCATCGGAGCACACGCATCACGCAGCCCTGCCAAGCAGTTTCGCGATTCCAGCCCCTCCAAACAACATCCGCTCACATGCCAATCCCAATGTGACAGCGACATTCACCTCTACCACAACTCACAACCTCACGATTCCTTGCGCCCGCCACGAATCTTTCCCCATCCACACGTCTAACGCGCACAAAGTACTGCGCCTGCCACGAAATGTCACCTCCCTCACACCTCGCAGCCTCACGATTCCCTGCGCCTGCCACGAGAATCGCACTTCCACGCCTCAAAACCCGCACAAAGTCCTGCGCCTGCCACGAAAAGTGACAATGTCATCTCATGTGAGCTTCAACAAAATTTGCACCACACGACACGCTTGGAATGATTTCGACCCGTTCTGAGCACACTGCCATCCACCAAAATCGCCATTTCAGCTGAGACTTGTCACGAAAACCGAGCTTCGCTGCCACACCCTGAAACGCAAGTCCCAATGGCACGGCCACATCCAACACCCCAAAAACACGACTCTCCAAACGCTAATCCCAATGGAACTGCGCAGCAAACTGCAGATCTCACAAAACGCTGCGCCTGTGCAGTGAAATGCATCACGTTTCTTGCGCGACATGTCCTTGTCATGCAAATCCCAATGGAATAGCGGCGCAAACTGACACGTGACACATCCATGAAAAGTCACTTGCAAAAGCTTCCCCCAATGGCAGCAAATTTGAGACGCGACGACGACGACAGACGACGACAAACGACGACAAACGACGACACGACGCAAGCCATGCAAACACAGCTCCAACCCCCAGACCCCCAACTATAAACGGGAACCCTTCGCTACGCATTCGGGAAAAAAACACTTCCCAAATCCCACTGTGAGCTATCCCCACCAAACCATGTCGGACTTGCAGTTGTGATTGCAGCAGTGTTATGCTGGAATGCTCTGTGGAATACAGTCGTCACACCCACAGGTGGCAAATTTAGTTTCTTACGCCTATAGTTGTGCTTGCACGGTCAGTGGATGTCAAATATTTGTGGATTTGGAGGAGCGCCTAGCTTTCTTGGCTCTAGAATGAAACAACAAACAGGTCCAGGCATAAGGACGGTCATTGACTTGCAGATATGGGTTTACTGAGTATCTATCTTCTGTACCTCCCTCTGCCAGGAGACCAGTGCGAAGAGGCTTCATCGGCAGTCAAATGCCACATGGGAAACAGAGTTTCAAAACGTCTCTCGCACGCAGTTCATGTCTTACAAAAAATGTCGATGAGCTTTGTGTGACAATGATTCTTGCACTTTTCCTTCTAGGCTGCTGCGGCTGCTTGATTCGATCACGTTCCCTATCATGGCTTTTTGCAGTTTGAATCAGGTACTTGCTGCGATTCAACTCTCAAGCAATCAAGAATATCTTTTTGTATTCGCTTGCAGCAAACTGCATATTGAGAAAATGAAAACACTGCAAGCAGTATGAGGACTGTTCTCCTTCAGTGTGGAAAATTGTTTTGACTGCCAATTTATAATGCATGGAATGCTCAGTGCACCTGGCCACGGGGGAGCCGAGTCCACGAGTAGGGCACCCTGCAATGCACTTGCAAAAGACCAGAAAAGGATCAAAGAAAAGGATCTGCAAGCTAGTTTCAAAAACAAATCAACAAGCAAAACAAGAAACAAATCAAACACACAAGCTGCTAAAATACAGTTTTGGTCGGACGGCTCGCAACTAACCAAAGCGCTTCTCAGCTTCACGTATATAATGTGGGGCCTCCTTGCCGGGCCCATTCCCTGGCAGAGAACATGTGCAGAATCATGAGCCGCGCCCAAGTTGCTGGGGTCTCCAAAACGAGTCAAGTGAAGAAAGGATTTAAAGTTGCGTGAAAAATGAAACAAAAATGCAAAAAACAAACCATGTCTAAGCATTGGTCTAAGCATGCTAAGTTTCATGAAAACGACATCATGGCCATCAGATTGGCCTGAGGGAAGAGGCGGAAGCCTAGACGAGGAAGACATCTGAGGCACTGCGCCTCAGCTTCTATATAGCAGGAGGCACAGTGTGTATTACAACATGATATCACATGCTACAACTGAAGATGCATAACAGTTCTAACTGTCCCCTTGGGACATATATACTGTTTATACTGTATCGATCTCTGTTTCCTCAACATCCCACAGGGCCAATTCATCTTTTTAAATCTGAGTGGATGAAATCTGTAAAGTGTTGCTGTAACTGAGTGCGTTGGTGTTCAACCGAGTGCTTCGCGGTCATGGACAAGGCACCAATCGGTCGTGGAAGACCAATCGACGCAAGTGTTCAAATGACATACGGAGAGCAGAATTAGATGTGCTGCCATACTCAGAGTTGATTGAAGAAACAAACCTTGCCCAAATGACTAAAAGTGTCAATAACCTCTAGATTACTAGATCATGTTTTTAGACGGTATTTTAAAAAAATGTCCACTGTCTTGATGCCTGTTGAATGATGTTCAAGCTGCTTTGGAAGATGTCAACACATGTAGCAAAGTACAGTTATGCAACGACACAACAAGTCATGCTGCAAAAATAGAAGCTGCTCAATTTCACTGAGTTGTTTTTGTTCAAGTGCACGCAACTTTTAACAGAGTCCGTTGGGCTATTCCAAGCCAGGTCCAATGAAAGTCACTTGACATCAGCAGCGACGGATGGACCGCAGTGGGGGGCAATGGTCCCCTATTAATGAGGTCATTGATGCTCTTTTGATGTCCTATTTTCAGACCGTTCCGTTGCTTGGAGAAATACTGTGAACACTGGCATGATGCAAAGCCATGGAGCTGGCATTGACTGTGCCAAGTCCGGCCGCCTGTCCGACTTTCCATTAGGAGTATCAGCGATCTTTCAACGCTTTTGATATAGAACTGATGCAAGGCTGGCGCACAAATGAGTGCACTGTTGATACACCTATATATATATATATATGTATATAAATTCCTCGGCCTTGCTTCTCGATGCGCTCCGCAGACAAGTCAGAAAATAGAAATAGCAATACAAAGAAACTCACCCGGATTCCTACCTTGCATGGGATTCTTTCCTTTCATTGGGCGCCCTTTCCAAGGAAAGACACCCCCCTATCACCCCCGAGTGCCATCCCCAAGCCGCAGGCACCAGGCTCTGTCACAATTAAATAGAAATAGCGATAATCAACTAGAAACAGGACTCCCTCCAGGCACTATCCACGTCCCCCTTTTACTTGCGCTTGCGCGAGCTCAAGTGCTTCTCGGCAGAAAGCAATGAAATGAGATAAATGGCACTATGTCCTTAGAAGAAAGCTTCAATCTGCAAGAACTGCCAAACCTTCATTGATATACAGTCCGTCTTGGCTGCCTGCCAGCGGCCTGCTATGAGCAGCTTGTCCAACAAACCGTGCGAAATCCACCACGTCGCTCCCCCTCTTCTAAGAGAATACGGCCTGAACTTGAACGAATCCAAATCAAGCGAAACACTTTGCAAAGAGAGTACGCCACGGTTACGCCACGCGGAAGACCCCGGGCACAATTTGGCGTGTGCTGAGTTGCAACTTTTCCAAACCCAAACCATCTTCAGAACGCCTTGCCTTTTGCCACATTTCGTCAACCCTAGAGAAACGACAGCTGGAGCGCTCGAGTTTTTGACCATGAGGGACACGCTAAAGGAATAATGCTGGGGATAGAAGCCCGACCCACCACGACAAGCAAGGTGTGTTCAGGGAGAGGCAGGGCCCGCTTAGGGATTGCATTGACTCCCCGGCGTTTGAGGAGTCACCATGACAACTGCAGGTGTCCCTTGAGCTTAGGATCAGAATCCTGTACGCCAGCTAAACCGACCAAAGGGGCTCATACTCAGCAAGGATCCCATCCAGTAGTTCACGCTGGCGCGGTAGAGTGAAGTCATTCTTTTTTCTCACCGAAATGCAGTCCGTGGCCGGAGCGATTGGACTACACGTCAGCAGTGCTCGAATGAAAAACAATCCTATTTCTCTGGAAAAACTATTTGATCCGAAAAGATACAGTCTTCTGCGATGGGTTGGAGAGCTCAGTAAATTCGGGCGGTATCGTACCAGTCAGAAACAGAGGGGCCGAAATGTTGCTGCACAGCAGCGGTTGTAGCAAGTTGATATATCGGATGGTGAACGTCTTGGGTAGAGGGGCGCTGATGCTGTTGCATCCGGAGGCCACGGTGGTATGCTTCGGCCAAAGCAAGTTCGGGCCAGTGGGTTCCGGGTCTACCAGGTCGGATGGGCGAGGAGAGGCGGCGCAAGGAGTGGGAGGGGTGAAAACTCATTTTATGTTCAACGTAATCAAAACGTCTGAGGATGTGGCCTAAATAGCGGAGTCGCTGGAATGAAATGCGCTGACTGGGGATTAGGAGACGAGGGGCATGCCGGAAGGCAAGTGAAGGGAGGTAGTCATTGGAGCATTTTTGTTGGGAGGGATTGAGAACCCGATGGTAATACGAACTTTTGATACCAAACATTTTTCGGAGAACCCTGTAGTGAAGAGAGTTTAACTTAACGATTTGCGCAGGAGTATAAACCTGGGACTCACACCCGTATAGTAGAATCGCGAGAACAATTTGGGAGTACACATCAAGCCGACGTTTAATCGGGACGGCGGGGTTAGTAAAAACTGGAAAGAGCGAGCTAGTAGCGCCAGAGGCTTGGGAGTAGCGATAATTACAGTCCGCTGACGAGGAAGCAATGCTGGAGACCCGAGCCCCCAAGTACTTCGCTGTACTCAACACACAGACAGGGGGCCCAAGCGCAGCGGCGCCAGTACAGTGTTGGCAAGGGCATGA